TTTCTCAAGAGACTCTAAAGTCTCTCTCTGTTGCCCAGGCCTGGAGTCCCAGCTGGCTAATCTTGGCTACACTGCAACCTCCGCTTCCCAGATTCAAGCATTCTCTGCCGCAGCCTCCCGAGTACTGGGATTACAGGTGCCCGCCAACACGCTTGCTAATTTTTGTATTTTATAAGAGTGGTTGGGGTTCCAACCATGTTGTGCAGTTCTGGTCTTGGAACTATTGGGACCGTCGTGATCTACCCCCTTGGCCTCCCAAAGTGCTGGGATTACAGGTGTGACCACCGCACCTGGCCACATTTGGACTTTTTAACACACATGAAGTGCTTGGTATTTTAGAGTGCTTCCACACGTAATCCTTATTAGAGATAGACAAGATGGGGAGAATTAATAAGCCATTACCCATGTTACAGTGAAGAAGCAGAAAGATGAGAAGTTTGAACTTTGGTCAGCCTGGCTCTCTCATAAGCTGTTTTGCTGACTAAATTGTGAGTATCCCTCCTTTGGTATATTTATTGGTGAGAAGTCACAGTCCTTGTCCCACAGGTTTTGCAGCCAATCAGGAGAAAGAAATTAGGCACCTATAAAGTATTACTAAATCATAGATAGTTCACCAGTGGTTTGTGCAGTTGGCACATTCATTTAGGGACATCTGTTCTGAAACAGCATTGAAATAGGACTGACTGTGCTTTGCTTTCTGGTTGTGACAGCCAGAGCCAAAGGCAGACGAATGAGGGGATATGAGGAGGCTACTATGACTGGAACAGTATGAAAGCAACCTCAGCTCCCACGCCTGGCTCTATAGGGGATAATAACTGGGTGCTGGTTCCCAGCCTCTTTCATCTGAGAAGTTCAAAGCACCTCACCCCTATTAACACCCCACAGAGTAGGCAGGAAGTACCAATAGAGCAAGCCAGGGAAACTGAGGCCAGGAGGCACAGCCTGGGGCTAGCTGTGAATCACCTGTGGGGCCTAGAGCCCAGGAATCCTGACGCCCAGACTACTGGACAAATCCTTTATCAGGGCGTTAGGGTGGGTGCTATGCTTTTGAAAGCAGTACCAATGGCTGTGGTCATGGGTTTTGATGCTTGCCCATCACAGAGGCCCCAGCTCTCACCAAAACAAACCA